ACTTAAAAACAGGGATGGGGATATATCTCAGTGGGAGGGCCCTGTGTTCAATCCCAGTACTGGAATAAAAAAGTTGGGGGCTCCTGATGCAGGGAATTAGTCATTAACAGTGCTGTCCTCAGAGGGGCTTATGTAGTTCTTCTAGGGTCTTGGTTTGTTCTCCTGAGAGGTTGTTATGAAAAAGAAAATCTGATCTCTCCCTGATTACCTTGACTTCCTGTCTCAATATGTGATCTCCCCCTCTCATACAAGTCCCGCCATTGTTTCATCATCTTCTTGTGAGGCATTCAACAAACCCAGCACAAACTAGTACCACACCCTCCAGGACTAAGAGAACCTCTTTTCTTCATGCCGTACTCAGGCCCAGGCATTTTGTTACAGTAATAACAAATGGACTACTATGGATCTGAAGTAAAATAAGCAGCTGCAATATCCACAGGCTGCTCAAGGTAAGTGAAATTTGACCAAAGACTTCAAGAAGGTGCGGGAGCACCACGCATGGTGGCGCACGCCTGTAATCCCAGCACTCAGGAGGCTGAGGCAGGAAGATCACTGTGAGTTTGAGACCAGCCTGGACTACACAGTGAGTTCCAAGTCAGTCTCAACTACATAGTGAGACCCTGTCTCAAAAAAAAAGAAAAAAAAAAGGTGGAGTAGGAAGTCACGGATGTGTACGAGAGTGTCAGGAGGTGAGGTTCCAATGCCCTGGGGTAGAAATGGGCCTGACGTATTCTAGGTACAGGAGCTGGTCAATGGGGTTGAAAAAGACAGAATGGGAGAGGAGAGAAGAAGCGGAAAGCAGAGCTAAGAAGCGATGGGGCCAAGTCATCTAAGGACCTGTGGGGGCCAAGAGGGCTTCAGCTTGCACTTGGGTGCAGTGGTGGCCTGTAGTGGGCTTTGAGGAACATTAAAGATCGGACTCATGTTTATGAGAGAACTGTTGAGAGTTGCCTAACAGGGTACAGATCTCCAAGGCAGCTATGACATACATCCAGGCTAAAGGCAAGGGAGCAGGCTGGCCACGCTGAGTGTGGACGCGAGAGTACTCTAAATACGGGAACATCCTCTCAGGCAACCCAACAAACTCACGAACAGATGTGAGGAGGTGCGCGACAGTCACAGGGGGTGCAATAACTCTGAGAATTCAGTCAACTACTGCAAACTAGTTAGTGAGCAAGGAACCCATGACTACCTTGTTTGTTGTGAAAAACAGCAAGGCTGCATTGGATCTAAGTTGCTACATTCTTATATAGAGTTTCTAAGTCAATACGACTGAATATAGTGCATGTGAAACATAAGAGTATATCGTCTCCGCTGAGATGCAGCACACTCTCAGAGGGAGAAATGCTGAGGACAAAGTGGTATGGAGAAGATACTCATATATTTTTAATTCTGTCCAACTTTGAACATTTCAAGTTAATTCCTACCCCAGTGCCTTTGTTCATGTTCTCCATTGCTCCTAGAATGTCCTTTCGTAGAGCTTTGACCAGCTGGTCCTTTCTCTTCATCAGCTTAAAAAGCCTATCCACAGTTATCATTCTCAACCACGGTGTCCACTCGTGTCAGTCAGTTTTTTCCAACAGGAGGGTATTTAAGGTCATTTGTTTTTTTGTTTTGTTTGGTACTGGGGATTGAATTTGGATCCTTGTGTTTCCAAGGCAGGTGGCAGAACCACTGAGCTAGATGCCCTGCCCTTGGAGGCTATTTAAAGAATCGGCTTGTGTGAGTACAGAGGTTGAAAAATCCCAAACTCTGCAGTCAGCAAACTGGAGCCACAAGAGAGCCCAGGGTGTAAGTTCCCACCTGAGTGAGACAGCTTATGAATCAGCGAAGCTATGAGTGTGAGCTCCAGTCTGAAAGCTGGCACTCTCAGGACCCACAAAGAGTAGATGTTTTGGTTCCAATGCAAAGGCAGCTAAAGACCAATGTCCCAGCTTCATCACTGGTCCAGCGGGAGGAGCCCCTCTTCCTCGTGGGACTGTTCAGCCTTTTGTTCTTTGTTGATTGGATGGGGTCAGACACGAGTTGGGGGGAAATGTGCCTCTTCAGGCCACCAAACCAAGAGTTAATCATCTCACCCAGAAATACCCTCATGGACACATCCAGAATAGGATCTTACTCAATGTGGGAGCCCAGCCAAAGTGGCAGCTAGGATGAACCTTCTCACCTCCCTTGTCACCATGGCATCTGCCATTGTATAGGTTTCTCTTGTCTATCTTGTCTATCTTCTCTTGTCTATCTGCTTCTTTGTGTGTCTCTGCCCTCAGAGAATCTAATCTCTACCAGCTGTTTGCGGAGTGCAAGAACCGGTGGATAAATGAAGGGGAAGGATCCCATGTGTGATTTGAGATTCTGGAGAGACAGGCATGGGATTTTACTGAAGCAGGGTGATATGGGTGGGGAGGAGAGCTGGTACCAAGTAAGAATAGAAAGGAGCCTGGAGGAAAACCAAGGGGCTGAAGAAGAGAGAAGCTGAAGAGGGCTTGGGGATGATGAGACCGGAAGGGACAAACCTTATGGGAAGAAACTGAAATCCACCTCTGACAGCCCGATTCCTTCACTTGCATTCTGGCTTTTAGGTTTAATCTAGAGTGAGGCATCCCCTGGCCTAACCCCTGTGACTTTGAGCCAAGGCAACAAATCAAAGCCCAAAGCAAGGTGGGCCCTAGGCTGGGCTTTCCCGGGAAAGTGAGGGGGCAGCAGGAGTAGAGATGAGCCAGATGGTCTCCCCGAGCCCTGGAGCGCAATCTGTCTGCAGGCGAAGGGGCTGGGCGAAGGCCCAGTTCATCACCATGGGCAAGGTGGTCCCGAGAGGCCCAGACTCAGAAGGACACAAGGTCAGCTTCCTGCTCAGACGAGCCCAGAATTCTTCCACCACACTTTCCCATGGGCACATAAGGTTTTGTGTCGTGTTGATCGATTTTAATGGCAAAATAAAAAAACAAAAAGGAGAAGCTGTCTTCGAGTGTTAAATGTTATGTGCATAAATGTTACCAAAACTGTGAAGGAAAATGCCCCCATGTACGACTTTAGCTAAAATCAACTCTCCCCAGTCGTCAGGGGATTGGTTTAAACACGTGTTAGAGAGACCCATTGGGTTGGAAGGCATCGTTTGCACTATCTCCCTCTGCAGAGAGGTTTGGGGGTGCACCGTGTGGGCTGATTGCAGTTTGGAGGCTTGAGGACCAGCACGAGGATTAGGCCCCTCCGTGGCAGGGTACCAAAGGGCACACAGTCTGTAGGGGATAAGGAGACCCAGCTTGGGCTCCTGGTTGGAGGGTAACAGCAGGAGAACCCGAGGTATCCCACCAGCCAAGGCCTACAACAATTACCCATGAGTCCACTTACGGTGATGGACTACTGGGAAGTTATCAGTACTTTCATTTTCAAAAATTGGGAAACTGAGACTGAGGGAGAAGAAAGGTCATGCCCACAAGTGAAGGTGGAAGTCCAGATTTAAAGTCAAGTGAAATCGCAAAGCCGCAGATCCCTTTAAGCTCCCCTCCCTCCCTGGGCAGACTTCGGGGCCCTCCTCTGTATGACCACCTGCGCTGCAAAAGGTGAAGGCAGCCAGGGAAGCTGCAGGTGTAGGCTCAGCCCAGGTGTGTGCTGAGCCTCGCGGGGTCTTGCCAGGAACTCGCTCCCGTCCCTTCTCGCATCTTAGAGCAGTGCTGGCGGCTGTCATAGTCCACTAACCTCAGAGACTGTTCGTTTCATTGCTGGAGACAGCTCCCAAGGCAGTCCAAATCCGGCTTCAAACCGCCTTGGCAGCGCATGGCTACGCTGACCACATCGAATTTGAAGTTTCAGTGCCTGATGGGTACCAGCTGGCTCAGTTACAGGAGCCGTGAGGGTGAGGTTGGATCTTCTGGGCCTTCTCCAGGTGTGCGCTGAGACACCTCTTCCCCAGCAGCCTCAGAGCCATCTCCAGAGGGGGCGTTGGGCCCCTGTCTCAGGGACGTGGCACCTCCTAGTCTGCTACGGATAGGGGCCTGGTGCTCCAGTGTCCCCTGCCACACCCCTGCCATATTTCTTTCATCCTGTGACCCCCTCACCCACTATCCTCTGAAACTCCTGAACGAGAGGCCAAGAAAACCACTGTGCCTCTTCATCACTAGCTCGAACCAAAGCTTTCTCATTCCCAAGCAGGCCCACATGGGGCTCAGAAACCCACCATGCCCTCATGCCCCCCACACACTGTCTGGGGAACGGTTCCCAATGGCCGCAGCACCAGACGCACTGTGGCATCTCCTATATGACAGGGCTGTACCACTTATCCGGGCCCAGCTCCAGAGTGTAGGAATGACTAGTATTTTCCATAAATCTGGGAGGGAGGATCAAAGCCATCCCCACTATAATTTCCCCAACCTCACTGGCATCCTGTGACCTCTACAAGGTAGGTCAGAAAGGTTGGAACCACAGTATGTGTGCCCAGGCTCTTACTGGTGTGGACATCTGAGGACCAAAGAGGACTGCTCTGGAGCACTGGGGGAGGTCTCACTGGCCACTTGCAAGGGGAGCAGAATCTACACTTATTCTGGATCCAGAACTGTTGCCCCACTTAGATTCTGGGACCAGCAGAGCTACTTTAACTTTGGGATGCCAAATGGTGCATCCACGGAAATGATGTGGAAAATGAAGACATCCATTACACCACCCCATCCCTTCCACATAGACAACAGGCATTAAGGGAAACCTCAACAGCACAGTCCCTTGTCCCTAAACAAAAGCTCATGAGGAGCTGAATATGGTACACTCCTATAATCTCAGCACTCTGGGAGGCTAAGGGTGGAGGATCACAAGTCTGAACCCAGCCCACTTAGAAAAACCCTGTATCAAAATAAAATATATATGTTTCAAAGGCACTGTAATACCCTGGATTCAATCTACAGGAGCACAAAAAAAGACAAAGAGAAAGAGGAAGAGGAAGTGGAGGAAGAGGAGGAGGAGGAGGCGGAGGAGAAGGAGAAGGAGAAGACCCACCAATCATTGCTAACCCTCTGAATACTGTTGTCCAGTTGGATCCTTAGCTCCCTGAGACCAAAGGACTGTGAGTCACTCATGACATATTACCCTCCATAAACCCAGTACAGAGTTGGGCCTGAATAGGTAGAACATAATGAAAATGCTCAGTGATGTTTGCTAGGCTTGTATTAGTTCCCTACAGCTGCCACAAGTTACCATGGACTTGGTGGCTGGAAACGAGAGAAATGTATTCATTCTCATTTTTGGAGGTCAGAAGTCTAAAATCAAGGTACCCACAAGGCTGCACTCCTCAAGGGACTTCTTCATACCTTGCCTCTCCTAGCTTTGGGTGGCTGCTGGCAATCTGTGGTGTTCCTTGGCGACATGCTAGGGTCTGGATATGGTTTAAGTGAGCCCCTAAAGAGTTAGTGCATTTAAATTTAATTCTCATTGTGAGATTATTTTTGTGGAGAGTTGGGTATTGAACCCAGGGCCTTATGTATGCTAAGCAGGTACTCTACCCTTGATCCAAGTCTCCTGATCCCCCCATCATGAGATACAAAGAAGGTAAAAACTAATCTGACTATGCTACTTGGAGATTGGGCCTTTGAGATGGGATAATAGTAGATAAACTCAACAGGGTGGTGCCCCCATGATTGCATATTATCATAGTGGTATGGAAGGATTGAAGGACACAGATGCACATACACTGTCAGTCCCTTGTCTTGTGATGCCCTGTGCTACTTTGTAACTCTTCCAGCAGAAGAGCCACCACTCAGTGCAGCCCCTTGACCTTGGATCTCGAGTTCTGAGCCAAAATAGACCTTTTTTCTTTGTAAGTTTACCTAGCTTAGGTGTTTTGTTACAATAATGAAAACTGGACTACGACACTGTATGACTCCGTTTCACTGTCTTCTCAAGGCCTGCACTTCAGCATGTCTTCGAGCCACTTCTCTCTGCCTCTGTCTTATAAGAACTCATGCAGTTACATTCAAGGACCAGTAGGATAGCCCAGGATAAGCTCCTCCCCTCAAGATCCTTAACTCAGTCTCAGATATCCATACAAGGTATAGTCACTCTTTTGCCACATAAGGTTATAGGCAAAGGTTCTGAGGATGAGGAAACAAATACATCGTTGAGAACAGACTTTTTTGTTGTTTTGCCTCTTATTATATTTTAACAGGAATTTCAGGACAGAGATTTTCTTATTTAAGGCTCAAAGCAACTCAAGGGTCAGATGCTCTCGTTGTTCCATTTTACAGCACTGGTCGGGGAAGGTAAATTGAAACAGCAATGATAGAAACCTGAGGTTTACAATGGTCATGAGTTTAAAATTTGGAGGTTCCAGTAGTCTCCCTTCTGGCTTCCTCCTCATCTCCATGTGATTTGGCTTTTGGTGGCCAGCATTGTAAATGGTAGAGTCAAACAAGGCTGGGGTTCAAGCTATCTCCTGACTCCATTTCTTCTTAATGCCAGCTGCACGCAAGAGGTGGTATTTAAACTGAGTCCCAGAAGACTCAAACTTCAGATGCCTGTAGCTGGAAGTTTGCTAATGAAATATGCACCTTGTGTCTTTGGGAAAGGTGTGGATGGAGGCTAGACAGCATAGTGGCTAAGGCCACCTCAGACCCCCTGAGGATGGCACCGATGATGATGGTGGTGGTGGTGATGATGATGATGATGATGGTGATGGTTGGATCGTCAAGGTCCTGGCAGGACATCCAGGTCTGAGAAAAGAGTGGTTGGAGAGTTTAATGAGTGGTGTAGGAAGGACAGCAAGGAATGAAGAAACACTCCCAGGCTAGTGTTGGAGGGAAGCTGCTGCCACCTTGTGGCCTGGAGGTCTGAGGAAAGTAATTACTGGACTGTAAAAGCATAAACACCCAGAAGGAACCATGTGATGAGAACTTTTGAGCTTTAGTAGAAGAATGTAGCCCTGCATACCTGTGACCCAGAAAGGAGAAAGCCAGTGGCACAAGCACTCTGACTTCTGTCCTACCTTGTTCTCATGGAGGACAGATGTTCCATTGGTCACTCCAGTGGGAAGTCAAACAGCAAAGAAACCTATGAATGATGTCCCTATGGGTCTTCTTTCAGAGGTACTGGGCAGGGTGGAAAAGGATCTGAAGGAAAGTAGATGTTGAAGGAAAAGCAGACAATCCAGCCCAGTGGCAAAGAAGGTGATGGTGGTGGTGGCTGTGGTGGTTGTGGTGGTCATGGTGGATGGCAAATATGACTACAATTCATTGAGTTCCCACGTGGCTTCTTGCTCTTCTAAGGACTTTTTCAATCTTTATAGCAGCCCAATAACACAAGACAGTAGAGATTCTTGAAGACGTGGGAAATCTACATGCCGATCAAATGCCAAAATTAACTCTGCTTCCTCAGACCTCCCCCAAAACAGGGAGTTTGGCAAAACACTTTTGTCTGTGATGTATGTTGAAATTACCTATGAGTCTGATCATCTTGCCTCTCTGTGAATTCCTTCAGGTAAGTTTGACATCTGATAATCTCTGTAACAGAGGACTTCATAATGTCTAGGAGAATACCTGCCACTCAAGAAATACTAAGCTGCTGCAGATGGATGGATGGATGGATGGATGGATGGGACACCTTGACTTCTTGTCCTATACATCAAGGTCTGTACCTTATGCTGCTCTCCACAGAGCCTGGCCCATCACAGGCATTCAGTAAATATCGGTGACAAGTCAACACAGCAACACCGTGACATTTCTATTTTCTCAGTACAAACTTCCTCATGTCTAAACATGGACTGAAAAACATCCAAGCTTTTCAAAGCTATTTGGTTTCCTAAAATTTCCCCAAGCCCCAACTCTGAGCTCAAAAGTGAGGCTGTTTGTGCTGTGTCTCAGAGCTGCATTCACAAACCCACGGCCCAACATAGCTCAGAATTGCTAATCACCTTGGGATTGTTGTGCTCATAAGTGACAATACAGAGAAACACAAACCTGTCTTCTTGTTAATGTTAATTTTGGTCCCACAAAATGTTGCTAAAGCATATTGCCAGGCCTGCCGCAGATGTTCCTTCTCTCATATGTGAGAGATACAGGAAGTGGGACCTGGGCATTTTAACGGGACTACTGCTGCAGTGGTGATAACTGTGGTCAGGCCATTTTCCAATCACTTTGACCTATCACTTTATCTGTCCATGCCGCGCTTGCTGTGATCCCCATTGAGGCTGGTGTGTAATTCTGTATGAACTACTGCAGCCTGCTCAATAGACTGATAAAGTTCAGCCGTGTCACCTCCTTGTCAACTCACTTGCTAATTTCACTCCACACCGAAGGTCTGGAATGACCCACAGGCTGAAGTACCCAGGAGAATCTCAGGTTGTTCTTTCCCAGAGCTCATTAGGGGAGAGGTGACATGGGAAGATGTGTGGTGCTCCAGTTTGAGACTCAGGTCTTAACTAACCTGGATAGGAGAGATTTAGAGCCACTTACCAATTTTTAAAGAACCAAGCAGTGCAACACTGCATCCTCCGCCTTGTCCTGGCTTATCTTCCATGTTCAGTGGTCATTTCTAAGAACAAGAAGATGCCATAATGTAGAGAAATTAGAAGGAAGAAACTCACCCAGCACACTATGGCTGCAAGGCCTTTTTCTTTCCAGGCAGGGAGCAGATTTGTATGGCCATCAGCAAAGAGGGTATGGTGAACAGTGGACTGAAGGCTCCACTAGCATTGCGGAGTCGTGTTATTTATTCTGGGAAGCTCTCTCTCTCTCCCCCAGTAACGAGGGAATCCTTCTTCCTTGTCTGAAAGTTTTCCTTTACAATCCTGCTTCTGGATGGGATCCATGGCTGGTCAGAGGAGACAGAGCACCGTGAGAGGCTTGGAGAGGAAAAAGGAGGAGCCAGTGGAGCACTAAGGAGCTAGAATGACATCAGCTACAAGGTGAAGAATAAGCAGAAAGCATAAACATAAGCCTGATCCTGTGTTTGTTGGTGTTGCCACGGAACCAGAGGAGAAACGCAATAAGGAGGAAGATGTGGGGAAGTAGAGATCCAGTCCTAGATCAAGGAACTCTTAACATAGAGAAATACTCAGCTTTCCAGGGCTAGAACAAGTCCTTGAGATTAATAAACTTTTTTTTAAAAAAAAGAAAGGTTTATTTTGCCTCAGGGTTTCTGGAGTTTCAGTCCATGGTCGATTGGATGATCACTTTTGTGCCTGTGGTGAGGCTGTACATGTGGCAGAGGGAGGCTCATCTCATGGTAGTCAAGAAACATGCCTCCCACCCACACACTGAGACCCAACATCTCTATCTAGACTATATCTCTGAAAGGTTCCACCATCTCCCAATAGTGAAAAATGGCTATTGGATGCTTGATATTGACTAGGTAGAAGTGATGAGGAAGCTTCTGTCCTTGCCAGGCAGAAGGGCAGATAACTGTTGGATTCCAAAAGAGAAGCCAGAAGGACTTGGAACCCTGGCCAGAAGCAGAGTCCCAGTCCTGTCTTAACAATGGGAAAATGAAATGCTAGCCATATAGAGCAAGAAAGCCTGACTTCTGCAATTGCTACCATGACCTGCTTTCTGTAGACTCCCCTGGCTCTAAAACCAGAAGACCATAGAAAGACAGCAGATTGGGGTAGTCACAAATTGCAAGGTAGTTTCTACCTTCCAGAGTGCTGAGGGAGGCTCCATAGAAAGTTACCTCCTCTTGCTCCTCCTCCTTCTCTTGCTCCTCCTCCTCCTCCTCCCTCCTTGTCGCCGCCTCGTTCTCCGCCCTCTCCG